GGGACGGGACAGTCCCTGTGGGGACGGGGCTGGTGCAAGGCGCTCGGCAAAGGGAGCGGGCGGTGTTCCCCATGGCCGCGACACCCCTGGGGTGTTCCTCACCCCATCCCGGTCACCCCTGGGGTGCCTCTGTCCCCAGCCCCGACATTTCTGGGGTGCTCCTCCATCCATCCCTGTCATGCCCAGTCCCGGCAACCCTAGGGTGCTGCTCATCCTGACGCTGACACCCCTGGGATTCCTCTGCTGCCAGCCCTGACACCCCTGGGGTGCTGCTCCCCAAATCCCAGTCACCCATAGGAGGGTGCCATGATGTCACTCATCCAACTCCGATCACCCCCAGGACAGTGTCCTGGTGCAGCTTGCCTCAGCCTTGTCATCCCGGGGTACCACTTACCCTGAGGTACTGCTCACCCCAGTCCCATCAGATCCTAATGGGTCTTGCTGCAGGGGACAGGTTGTGGTATGGCTCACACCTCAGCTCCCCCCTTGCAGTGAACCCCGACATGCAGACCATTAGGGTGTTTTTTCACCTCTGGGTCTTTCTCCTCCCTGCTTTCCTGGAAAAGGAGAGTTCAGGAGAAAAGAAAATGGAACTAAACCAAAGTGGACACTAACACTGGCAAAGGGCCTGCAGCTTCCCATGTGCCATAGCCACTGGCCACAGCCTTGCTGCTGTCTGGAACCAGCAGTGGCCATGGGATACTCATGGGGGTCCCTTCCCACCCAGGCACAGCTGATTTCACTGGGGGGGGGGTCACCAAATCAAAACCCTTTTGTGCTTGTCCAAGCCACTGGTGCTCCCTGGCTAGCCACATCCTACCAGAGCTGCAGCTCCCAAGTGCCAGGTCCTGAGCCCCACAGCCCCAGTGCCATCAAAGCACCATGCATCCCATTCCTCCCAACCCTGCCATGGGGTAGGCAGGACCCCAGCACCCACCGAGTCTGTGCAGCATCAAGGCCATCATCTCCTTGGGGAAAACAATGTGGTGCTGTGTGTGTTCCACGAACAAGGTCATGTTTTGTCTCTGTCCTCCCTCCTCCCCTCAACACACATCATCTCACCCTCGTTAGAGCAAGATTTCTCTGTTAATTAAACCAGGCAGCATTTTCCTTATTGACTTTCAGTTGCCATTCAGTTGGCCATCAGCAAGATGGAGCTGCCCAAGCAGCCGGCGGGGCTGCAGAGGAGCCACAGAGGACGTGCCCTGTTTGGAAGCAAGTGCTTTGCTGTTTGCTTTGGGAAGATAAGTGGTCCAAGAAAGTGTACTGGATCAGTCAGTAAATACACTTTGTCTTCTGCCACTTGTTCCTGGGGGTGAGCTCCAGGCCAATGTTCCCAAACATTACCTGCTGGGGAGCAAAACCCAGCAGAGCCACAGCTCTTTCCTCTACCCCACCAGCTCTCTGGTGGCGTCTGGGCTTTTCTTCCCACTCTCTGGGAGTGACTTTCTGTCTTTCTGCTAAGGTTCATTCTGTCCTGGCTCTGCAGCAATGCAAGGAGTCCTCATGATGCTGTCCCATCCCACCCCACCCCATTGCATCCTGTCCCAACCCGTCCATCCCATCCCACCCCACCATGCTGCCCCACCACTGCACCAAGACATCTGGCATCCGGAGAGATCACCAGCTTTCACCCACCCAAGTCTGTCCATCCATGTTACAACCCCAAGACCCTCCTGCACCATCCCCACTGCAGGTACTGGAGCTGGGGGCTCTGGGGGTGAAGCCTTTGGGGTGCCAGTGGCAGCCCTAGTGCTCCTTGCTGGAAGGATGTTTTCTTCAGTGATGGGCTGGATGAGTGGCTGAGCTTCCTTATTTGAGAGGAGATCTATGGGGCTGGGGCCTCCCATCCACCAGCCCTTTGCAGAGCCCAGGTCTCTTCCATGTTTTGCTGGAGGGGAGAAAACACTTCATACCCACTGCTCCCTGCCACAGCAATCGGTGGGCAGCACTGAAGTGAGGGCAGGCAGATGCGATGGCTCTAAAGGGCAAACTTCAGCATGATCAGTCAAGATGCAGACTTGCTGGGGCGGTGGTGGCCCCTGTCCCCATCTGAAGTGATGCAGGAAACCTCACCCATGGTTTTCTTGTGGCTTTTATCTCAAAGGAATCCCCAGTTGCCACATCTTTTTATCCCAGCTTTTAACTAAAACCCTCTTCTGCAGCACTGTGTAAGGGCTGTGTTTATAAATAGAGACCTTCCCCTATGCATTCCCAAGTGTTTCTCCCCTTCCGAGCCCTGACTCTGCTACAGATGTCTATCCTGCCATGCCAGTGGCAGCAGCACCAGGAGGGCTCAGTGGTGCTTAGTGTGGCCAAGCCCCGGAGCTCTGCAGAGTGAGCATGGATCTCTGGACAGACCCGTTTGTTCCAGCTCTGAACCTGGGAAGAGGCTGTTTTCCTCTTCTGTGTGTTGCAGGGATGTTGATGGCACAGAGCACATGCTGTGGCAACACCATAAACCAAAAAACAACCCAAACCCACACAGTGGAAGAGCCACCTCTTGCCATGGGGTCTATCACATGCAGTTTGGGCTGGTCCATCCCCAGGTGCTGTACAGGGGACTGGAGCAGGGCAGAGGATGCTCTGTGTGGGATCTCCACAGGCTCCCAAGGCTGTGGCTGATGGGGAAGTGATGGTGCTTTGCAGGGTGCAGCGGACGGGCAGATTAGGGCTCTGTCTGCTCCTCTAGCAGATGGGTGGGCAGACAAATCTGTCTGCCCAGCTCCTACCTGAAAGACCCCCAAGATCCAAGATCTTTGTGGATATTATTTTCCACTTCCCAGACCTACTTAGCCTGTATGCTCATTAGTAATTTAGTAGGTGTTAAGGGCTGAAAGACTGCAGCAAACACAGCCCCTGTCCCATGGGGTTGGGTCTGCAGCCTCCTGCCCCTTGCCCTGCCCCTGGCACCTATCGTATCCCCCAGCCCTTAACAAAGAATTAATGCAATTATTTTTTCATGTATCTAGAGCCATTCTCAAGCCTCTGATCATCTGCTTGAGGGTTTTAACTGAGTTAGCAGGGCCCCAGCCAGGGCAACCTGTGGTGCTGAGAATAAAGCAGAGGGATTTCCATATTGATTTACAAATAGCAAAGGAATTAGCTAATTAGATCTCTCCGGGGAGAGAATTCCAGCAGGGACAGTGCAGGGCGGGGCTGTGCTCTATGCAGGGATGGATGCTAATGGTTTCTGCCAACATGGCAGCTCTGGCATGGGAACAGCCCTGGGAAACAACCCTCACATAAACATAGTACATGCTGCTGAGGGTCTGCCTCTGCCTGTGCTGCCCTTGATGGGATGGGTGAAGGGGCTGGGGGGCTGTAAGTGCCAGGTGAGGGGGATTTCTGCAGCAGATGAGGGTTGATGGGGCCGGGCAGGCAGGAGGAAGAGTGTGGCTGTGGGGGTGCCCAAGGGGTCTTCCCAGTCCTTCAACTAAGCAGAAGTCGGTTGTTGCTGAAGCCACTCATGGCTTTGCTGTCACTCGGGTTGGCTTCTGAGTCGGTGCCAAGTGGTGCTCTGATACTGGCCCCAGGAAAAAGCATCATGGACGCAAGCAAGGGTCTGCCTGGGACATCACCAGGGGTCTTGCTGCTGCCGGCACAAAGCTGGTGCCACACCCAGGGTCCCATAATCCTTCCTGTGCTGAGAAAGGCTCCAGCCCGGTGCTGACTTCCCCTAGAAACACATGAAAGGGCCGTTCTTGTGCTTGCCAGAGCCCCGGCAGTTTTGGTGTGAAGATCCCATGGCAACCGGCGCCTTGTGTAACCGTGTTTGCTATTTCTGGGCTTGCCTTTCCCTCCAGTACCATCCTCCCACATCCCACCCCATGGGACCAACCCCTGCTTCCACCCCAGGACCCTTCTCCTCCAGTTACCCCCTTCCCTCCTCGCACCGGGCAGGAAGCAGTTGGCAGCTGGAGTCATGGCAGAGGAAAGAGAGCAATCACCTTGGGCTCTTTATGTCAGCGACCTTTGCCCCTTCTGCTGGGCCAGCAGCTGGAGCACTTGCAAAAAAAGCCAAGCTGAAAACCTGAACCCCTCCAAGCTCATCAGCAGGAGCTGCACTCTGCTGCCCTGGGCCCACAGCCCCCTTTGCCCCTAGGACACTGGTGGGATGTGAGGCATGGGCAGGAGGAGTTTCTGGGAATCAACACCCTGCGAGGAGCCCCTACATCCCCATTCCCACCCCACTGGTCTCTTGGCTGTTCCTGGGAGAACAGGAACCCAACACAATCCCTCGCCCAGGCGGGATGCTCATCCCACATGCCTTATCTCCTGCATCCCACCGCAGGCTGCATTTCGGTGCTGATAAAGGGCTCCTTGACCCTGAGCAAGCCGGTTCGGCTGTGTTAGGAGAGCAGGGTGGCTGTGAGTGGGTGTCCAGAGAACAAAGAGGCTGCAGCATCCAGCTGGCACCAGAGATGGTAGGGTGGATGGGTGCTCTGCTCCCTCCTGCCCTGGCCGGGGCTGCTGGTAGGGTCCCTGGTTGGGTACTTAGCAGGGACTGCGTTTCAGAGACTCCTTCCTCAACAAAAGGGAAGTTTATAACGGTAACAAAAGCACTGCTCAGTCCAATTGGAGCTTTTCCCTTCCTGTTTCCTCCGTAGCTGCCTGTGGAGGTGCATGGGACCTGTCTGCATGCCACAGCTGGGGCACCCAGTGGGAAGCAAGCCGGAGAGCACGTGTGTTTTGGGGATTGCCACAGTACTCAGTGCTCCCTGAGCCCGGCTGTGCTGTGGTGAACATGTCTGGGCCCTTCCCTGATCTCAAAGGGTACAACCCTGGGTGAGACTCAGGTTTCCTTGGGGCTGCAGAGGTGGGTGCATGGTGGGGGGGACGCAGCAAAGTCAGTGCGAGTCCAGTGAGCTTCTCATATGTGCACAGCCACAATGCTGATCCCAAGGACATACCCTAGCAATGGGGCACGACCAACCCATCGTGGTGACCCCCAGCCTATTGTGGTAACCCCCAGCTCATCGTGGTAACCCCCATCCTGTCATGGTGACCCCCAGCTCATTATGGTAACCCCCATCCCATCATGGTGGCCCCCAGCTCATCACAGTAACCCTCATACCATCCTGGTAACCCCCATCCCATCATGGTGACCCCAAGCCCATCCTGGTGGCCCCCAGCCTATCCTGGTGACCCCTCTTGCCCAAGTTCCAGGGCCGGTGGCATCCACCCAACCACATCATGGGGCAGCCATGCTGGCAAACCCAGGCCAGAGGCTCAGTGCTGGGATGCTCTGGGGCAGCTGGGGATGTGTGGGCCTCTTTCTCCCAGCAAGTCAATGTGTCCTTTTGTTGCGCTGCTGGATTTTGATGCCTGCGAGCGGGGAGAGACAATACGTCGCATTGTTCCCTTTCAGCAACATCTGACGGGCCCAGGCAGAGAGAAGAGGCCAGTGTGTGCAGAGGACAGCATGGGGGAAGGGACTGGAATGAATGGACAGGCAGCAGGAAGGACACACAGACACCCGGCCTGGATGGAGGAATAGGGAGAGCCAGAGGGGTGGAGGGGGGAATGGGGGAGATGGGAGGGTTGGTGTCATTTTTTGGTATCCAAACAGGGAGATACAAACTCCAGCCCCACTCATCTTAATGGATCATTAACGTTAAAGCCTCATTAAGAACCTGTGTTGATGCCATAAACCCTTTCATTGCTGCTCCTTCTACCAGGAGATCCTGGCTGTATACTGAGGCTGTGCCACCAGGAGTACCTGTCACTCCCAGTAAATCCTGGGGTGCCAGGAAAAGCCTCTTCCCAAGTTCCCATGCGGGTGAGATGGGGCAGGGGCTCAGTCCCCACAGGGTGGGATGTGGGGTGGGAGCTGGGAGCAGAACTCAGCAGGGAATGATGCAGAATTGGGATTGTCTGCAACTTTCCATCAGAAATCCCCTCCCTCATCCCCTGCTGTCCCTGAATTGCTTAATTGTCAGGAACAGAATTCCCCTCTACCTTGGAGCAAAACCGAAAGTGGCCCCTGAGCTGGGCTGGGCGGGAGCCTGATGGTCAGGCAGCCCAGACACCCTGGTGATGATGGGCTCAAAGGGCTGCTCCATGCCCCAGCCTGGTGCTAAGGTTCTCGGGGAGCACTTTGCCTTCCAGGAATGCTGGTTCCACTCTCTGCCTCCCAAGAGCTGGTGGGATGCTCTGGTGGGGGGCACATGGGCTGGAGTCAGCTGTTGCTCTCTAAACCCCCACCCCTGAGCTCGCTCAGTGCTAGCAAACCTCTGGCATGGGGGGGTCCTCACTGCAATGTACTCATCATACTTCAGTGGCATGCAGCAGAGCAGTGGTGCCCTCCCCACCCCCATGGCTTGCGGCTGCTCCAGAAGATGCATTTGACCCAGACTTGCACGGCCGTTGCCATGGCAACGGCTGCGGGATGCGAGATGCGGGTGACTGCGGGTGCAGGGATGCACGGTGATGGGCCCTGTGTTGCTGCTGGTGTGCCCCATGACTGGGTTGCACCCAGGTCTGTCTTCACCCCAGGTCTGGATTCACCTCATTCCCAGTCCACAGTGCACCAGCATGTTCATGCTGCATTGCACATGTGTGTGCAAGCACGGACATGAGCACTGGTGGGGATGACAGTGCTAAGGGGAGCAGCACGGCAGGGAGAGGCGGGGCAGCTGGAGACGGAGCCACTCACCCCTTTATCAGGGCTGGGCTGCCATAAAGCCAGCGCTGTTTGCATTGGTGGGGCTGCGCTGGCGTTACTGGCCCGACTCTGCTTTGTCTCCGTGTTAACTTTTAACTGCCGCAGCTTCTCCTTTTCAGCCTCACCAAGAGCCTGTGAGAGCCCCAGCATCTGACAGCCCTTGTGGGGGGCTGCATTATCCCCCAGGAGGGTGCATGTGTCCTCCCTGACTGCTTCCTGCCTGTTGGCAGCAGGATGGGCACTGGCCTGGCTTCTTTGATGCCAGTGTGTGATGGCTGGAGTTGGTGAGGGCATTAAGATCATCGCAGCCCCAGGGACCCGCAGCCACAACACCTTGTCGTGGCCTCAGCTGCTGCCTGCCCCAGCCCTGTCAGTGCTGTGGTGCTGGGTTTGGCAGCAAAGCAGCTCAGCTGGAGCAGAGCCTCGGGTGCTGGAGTGACCCACTAACCCTGTCCTCCTGAAAAATGCATGACACGCAGGCAGCTGCCCGCAGAGGCTTGCACATGCACGTTGTGCTCATGTGCGGGCACAGTTTTGGCACTGCACCATGTGCCAGGGTTGGGCAGCAGTGGCACCTCTGGATGCACTCTGTGCCTCCTGACCATATCCCGGGGTATCTGCAGGGGTTCGGGGGCTCTGGGCTCCCTTTGGAACTCCCTTTGTGCTGGTGTTGGATGCCCTGTGTGTCCCCAGCAGTGCGGAGGGCATGGGCAGCTTTTCCTCAAGGTGTGGTGCATCCCTTCTGCTCAGCTCTGCTGTTGCTGCCAGCCTGCTGTAATGCTGTGGTGGTGCAAAGTCCACCTAGCACATGGCACCAGTCAGGGCTGGGGCTTGCTTTGAGCTCCCATTTGGGCTCCAAGGACATCCCAAAGAGCAGTCCCTGCTCTGGACAATTGGGTCCCACTGGAGAAACAAGAGGGTGACCAGGGAAGGCAAAGTGGGTGCAGGATGACCCCATCCCCGCTGCCATCACAGCCCTGACCTCGTTTCTCTCCAGCTTCTCCAGGCCTTTAACACAGCCCGGCCAGATGGCTGGGAGCCAGGGGCGACATCAGCTCAGCCCCATCATGGGGACATAGACCCTGCTTCCCTCAGTTAGTGGCAGCCCAAGGCCTCAGTGTGTGCCATGTGTCCCTGCCCCGGTGTGGCCTTCACCGTGGGGCCAGTGCCCCAGTGGGATGGATGCATCCCTGCTGCCCTGGCAGGGGTAACGGATTGCTCTGGCATGCAGCTGATTTAATCTCGGTCCCATTTGCAGAGCTGATCTGGTGGCTGCAACACCCCCACAACGACACTGAGCTGCATCTGACCATGGGCACCCCAAGCCTGCGCTGCACTCAGGCCTTCAGCATAGGATTTACAGGATTAAGGTTTTGCCTTTTTTTAGTATTTTTGTGGTTGCAATCCTGTTTTAGGAAGAAAGAAACCGCAGAAGCCAACAGCAGCACAAGCTGTGAGACCAAATTGACTAAACTGGTGTGAGATGGAGCAGCTTCATCCCTTGCTCAGCCCCCAGCCCAGAGAGGAGCACACTCCTGCCTGGATCCAGCCACGCCATGTTTCGCATCCTCTTCCCTCCCTGCAGCAGAGCCCAGTGCTGCTCTTCCTGTCCCTGCTGCTGCACATAGGGCTTCTTCACCCCCAAAGAGCTGTGTCTGGATCCTGAAGAATGGAGGAAATCCCAGTGGGGGAGTTTTCCGAAGCCTGTCTGGAAATCCTTGCAGCTTCCTCAGGGCTCTCAGCCCTTGGTGTAGGGCAACAAAGTTGAGAAAGAGCGTGAATCACCCACAGGGAGCTCCACGTCCCTCGTCCCATCGTGAGCACATGGACACGGGAATGTGGGTGCATGGCTGTCTGTGCACGTGCAGACACCGACACCCATGTATGCACATGCAGGTGCATCACACACACCATTGTGCCATCCACCAGCCAGGCCCTGCTCAACCCAGCCAGGTGGCAGAGGAGGAATCAGTCTCTCAGCTCCACTGACTAATTAACATGAATTAACACTGAGTAATTAACCTCCCTGCTCTTTAGAACTGGGTGCTGCAGTGCTGTCAGCAGCCAAAGCACCACAGCCACACTCTGCCCTGCGTCCCCATCCCTGTCCCCATCCCGCAGCCCTCTCGAAGCAGCCGGCAGTGATAATGTTTCCTAATCCACTTATTCCTGGCTGGCACAGGGCTGCCAACACCCTGCTTCCAGCGCCTGCTGTGCAGTGAACCTCCCCTATCCCCTCTGTCCCCTGGGATGTCCCCAGCTTCACTGGAAATGGAGGGGGAAAACCCTGGTCGGTCTTGGCCAGGCAGCTGTGGGGCAGGGAGGGATGAAACGTGAGGGCCATCACCCTTGCAGCGGTGGGTGAAGCTGTCGGGGCAGTGACGCTGCAGCAGGGTGGCCCTGAGGAGCAGCGGTGATGAGCAAACCTTGCGTCACCCAGGAAGGGAGATAAGGAGCCCTTCCCTATCCTCAGCCTGAGGGGTGCCCGGGGGGGGGACAGCAGGGGCTGTGGTATGGAGCGGGAACACAGATCCCTCCAGGAGGAAGGAAAAGGAATCCTTTTTGCCTCCCTCTTCGCTCATGCTCCATTGTGGCTGCCTGGGTCATGGAGGTGCCTGTGCAGGTCCCATCCTGCCGATGCTCCCTGCCCCCCCGCCCCGGGGCTGCTGCTGCAGGCTGCGGCTCCTGCGCACTTGACCGGTTTGGGTGAAACCCTCGAGATCAGTGTGGGAATGGCCTGACCTCAGAGGGACTGCGGCACGGAGGGGGGCCGTCCCTGCCGAGCTGTGTGGGATCCTCAGCTCCCAGCAACAGCAGGGTTTGAACTGGAGGTATCGATGGTCTTGCTCATTCCCACCCCGAAGGCAGCCCAGTGTGGGATCCCTGCTGCAGGTTCAAGACTACGTCAGTGATAGATCCCCAAAAGTGATGAGAGCCAAGGAACTGCTGCTCTGCAGGGGTGATCCCACCGGAGACTTGCTCCTTTTGATGCCTTCATCACTGAGCTAGAAGAAAATGGGTGGAGAAACACAGACCCCCTGAAATTCCCTGTCTGAGCTGGGTCTCTTCCACAGCAGCATCGGGGCTGTGTCCCAGAATGGTGTTCGGGGACACTGTGTTGGGGGCACGTCCCCCCGTCCCAGGGAAGAGACATAGAGAGGATGGATGGCTAAGGCTCCACAGGGAAAGCTGGGAACACTGGGAGCATGGGCAGGAAATGGGGTGGCAGGGCAGGAAGGCAGCCGGCGGCCCTGGGATTGACGGAAGAGCAGTGGAAAGGCTCGGGGCTGCAGAGGGAGGAAGCCGGCCCGCAGTGCACGTGTGGCTCATGGGGGACTGAAACCCTCCTGGTGCCAACAAGAGCTCTCCCCAGGTGAGCCCATGGGTCTGCAGATACGTGTGGGAGATCCTGCAGCCATCTGGGGACACACAGCCCAGCACCCCTGGGTCCCCCCTGTTGCTACCCACAGGTCTCCTGGTTGGGGTCTGAGCAAGGAGCGATGTCCCCCAGGGTCTCAGGGGTGGGTTTGGGGGTACTCTGTGGTCCCTTGGACACAAAGGAGGGCTCAACCTGCGCAGAGCTTGGGATGGGGTCACCAAAGAGGCTGACACCTACCGGGAGGTGGGAGACCTGCTCCCTCTTTGGTCTTTGGATACTCCAAAGGCTCCGATCAGTCCATTCTCGGCCTTTCAGTCATCGAGTTTCCAGCCTGTATCACCTGGGTTATTTAGACCCAGAGTAATGCAGCTTCTCAGCCCAGCACAGTGCCAAGAAAGCAGCAGTGGTGGCAGCTCATGTCCCTTTGCCTGCTGGAGCAGAGGATGGAGCTGTTGTACATTTACAGCCACTTCTGGGGACAGCTGGGTCAAATGGCAGCAAAAGCAGAAGGGGAGGAGGGGACAGTTCTACTCCACTGATCCATCTGGATCCCGGGCTGCTCCATGCAATGCAGTGCTGAGAGTCATCATCTCCTCATGGGGACCATGTGGTGGGAATGAGGGTGCCAGCACCATTCTCTGCTGCACAAGTGCAATGAGTTCAGCGGCCTCAGGTGATGAGCAGTGGACCAGGAGAGGCTGAGCAGCACCTCCCCATGTTTGTCTGCTCTGCGGGCTTGTTGAGACGGGAAAATGAGGCTGTGTGTGTGTGCAGTTGCTAATGAGGGTATGGTTACACTAATTCAGGGCTGCCAATTATGGCAGGTCTCAGTGTGGGGCCTCTTGGGCCATGTCCTGCCCTGGTTTTGGCCAGGGGAGCCTGGAGCAAGGTCAGGCAGTGGCGTGGCAGTGGTGGCCGATGTGGCTCTGCTTGCATCAGCAGCTCCTGTGCTTGGGATCCCGGGGCCCACAGGGAACACATGGGTCTGGGTCAGGGGAGAGCAGGGCCCGGGAGGCCCCATCCCCTGGGAGTGGGGATGCTGATGGGATCAGCACTGGGAGGATGGTCCCATCACTCCTCCGTGATGTTTTTTCCCCTTCATCACACACAAAACCCTCTATAGTGTGAGATGGCAGAGGGCAAACGAGCCCTTCATCAGTCCCTTCAGGGTTTGGCTTCATTAATGAACGGTTAAGGAAGAATTAAAACTACCAGCCTCCAGAAGACAGACAACACAGGCCAGAATGCGCCTAGGCTGGGTATCTTTGGCTTCATGGGGTGCTCCTGTCCCACCCTAGGTGGGGGACAAGGAGGAGCTGGGGGATGTGTGTCAGGTCCCCAGTGGGGTACCACTGTTGCAGGCTCCTCCTGGGAACCATCGCTGCACCCACGCTGGAAGGTGGCAGTGGCTTCACCTCTGCATTGGGGGAAGAATGGAGGTTTGCAGGCTCGGGTGGGAGATGTGCTCCCGTGTTTCTGCCCCACATCAATGGGTGCAGGTGTAGGGAGGGTCTGTGGATCAGGGGTCCTGTGCTGAGTGCCCTGCAGCTGCTGTGCTCCATCAGTGCCCAGCTGGGGTGGGAGCAGCAGGTTCCCAGCTGCACATAGGTCACAGGAAAGGGGGGTGCAGGCAGCAGATGTGGCTTCTCAGGAATGTTGGGATGGGTTCTGCAGGGAAAACAGCTACTTCCCATCATCTGTATCTGCTGGGAAGCACTGAGAGGATTCCTGAAGAGGCGTGGGAGGCTGAAGCTTAAACCCTGTGCTCCACTTTTGGGTCTGCACAAGGAAGGGCTTGGCTGTGCCCTGTGGGGGGAATTCCTGCCTGGCTTTTTGCTCCATGATCCTCAGCATGGCCTTTATCTGGATGTCCCATGCTTGGGGTCACCCCAGGATGTATCATAGACTCATAGGATCTCAGCCTGGTTTGGGTTGGAAGGGACCTTGAAGCTCATCCAGCTCCAACCCCTGCCACAGGCAAGGACCCCTTCCGCTAGAGCAGATTGCTCCAAGCCCCATGGGTTGCAGCTGTGGGATCAGACCTAACTGCCTGCACTGTGATGTCCCCAGTGAAGTCACCTCGAGGACAGCTGCTCCCAGGGGAATTCCCACCTGGGATCTCCCCTTGGATGTCATCACCTGGAAAAGCCCCTGTGGACTGTCAGAGAGGATTTGAGAGAAATGAGAGAGGAGATGTGTCCCTGCTCCCTGCGACCACACTTCCCAGAAGCAGGAAGAGCCTTTTCTGGGAATCCATTATCTCTGCATCCAACTTCTTTTTTGCCCCCAAAATATCTGCTGGACACTCAGGCTGGGCAAAGGGGAGCCATGAGGAAGCAGAGAAGGAGACATCCATGTCTCCATCCTGACCCCACCAAACTGGCTCCCTCACCCCTGCAGGCAGCTGCATGGGGTCCTGGCCAGGGAGGGGAGGAAGTGGGGGTCCTTCTGGGAACTTTGCCCCATGTAGGGTGTCAGGGGGTGCCTCTGCCCCCCAGCTCCCTGCCAGGCCCTCATCCTGCAGGCTGAGCGCCCCACAGCTGCGTGCTAACCTCAGGGGCCCTGCTCAATGGGAGGAAGGAAATCCTCATCCTTGGGAAAGGCTGGACATGGCTATTTCCTCTTGCTACTCTGGGGATGGGGTCGGCACACAGGCACAGCTGCCCACAGCGCCCCGACATTCCCACCAGGACTGGACTGGAACAGTCTGGGGCAATGTGAGAGCCTGGAGACAGGCTGGACCCTAACCCCCAACCCCAGTCCCAACGATCACGCCAAGGGGATTTCGGGGGGTTCTTCCTGCAGCATTCCTACAGCAGAAATCAGGGAAGCATCCCTGCCCTCGGCCTCCCGGTGTGTGGGCTCAGCTCCGGCCCGTTCCCATCCCGGTGCTGGTGCTGGTGCCGGTGATGGATGCGGGGGCCTCTGTGGGGCTCAGCTGTGCTCCAGCCTGGGGCTCCGCAGGATCCCCATTCTCTCGTCTTTCCTCCTGTTCCTCGGGGTGCCCTTCTGCTGGCACATGGCAGCCGGTAACAGGATACCAGTGGCCTTTGGCCCCACCGTGGCCTTATCCCCACCGTGTCCCTTCCGTGTCCCGGGCTGCCTGTGGGGTTCTTGCCGGGCACCGAGACCCCCGGGGCACGTTCGGTCCCCTCGCGGCTGCCGGGGTCCTCCCGCAGGCACGGCCGGGCACAGCATTCCCGCCCCACCGGAGCCCCAGCGCGGTGCTGCTGCCCTGCCCCGAGTGCCGCAGGGGCCGGTCCCGCTCCCGCCCGGCTCCGATCTCCGCTCTCTGTCACAACGGTGCCGGACAACTGCCAGGACCGGGATACCGGGAGCTGGAGCCTGCGGGGCCCCGGCGCCCTCTGGCGGCGGCGGGGTCGCAGAGGGACAAAGACCGGATCCCCCCTCCTCGCCCTGGCGATCCCCTCGTGCATCCGGAGGGGAAACGCCGGCATTGACACGGCAGAGCTGGGGCGGCCGGAGCACCGCCCCTGGGGCTTCCCAAAGCTCCACCTCGCCCCCCACCCCCATCCCCTCACAGAGCTGCAGACCCCAAACCATCTGCTGGGGGGGGGGGGGGCGTGTGGGTTGCATCAGCTCCCCCCAGCCGTTAACCCATTTCAGTGGGGCAATGGAGAACTCCACTGCGGGGGTGCAGGAGTTGGGCGTCAGGGCTCAGCCTCGGTAAAGGGACCCAAGGTGTGAGCTCTGATACCCCAGAACTCTCATCCTCACACCCAGCACCAGCTGGAGCTGGCTCCAGCACAAGCAGCAGCAGTCACGCCTCCCAAACCTCAGTGCAGCTGTTCATCAACCACTACTCTCAAATACAAACAGGAGGAGGCTTCTCCGAGGAGTTTTACCAGACAACAAACACACAAACAATGGTTGGGAGTAAAAAAATATGTTTTTTTTCCTTTTAATTACATCAGTTATCAAAGAAAAAAAAGCAGTGGTAACAAAAATACAAAGCTCTGAGGATCTCGTTTTGTTTTTCGTCATCAGCTGAGCACCAGTGCAATTGGTTTAACTTAACTTCTGCTCTGAGTCTCTGCTGGCAGAGTAGGAGTAGGCTTTGCCCAGCACCAGACGGTCACGCAACAGCTTGAAGAAGGCGTAGTAATTGCTGAAGAGGATCAGAGCCAGCGAGATGGTCTGGTGCCACTTCTCTGAAGAAATCAGTGAGTAAAGCTGGTAGAAGATGACGGCTCCTTCCAGCAGAATCAGGATGTTGAGGATCCTCAGGGGGTTGCTGAAAAAGAACTGTAGGAGACCACAATGAGACCCTTTGGGTTGTGTTTTCCACAGGATGCATGTAGCAGAGGCCTGTGGGGATTCCCCTTGGATTTCCCTTAATATTCACCATTGAGTGGCTCTGGACAGAGCCCTGGGCTGCAGGGACCAACTGCCCACTGGCAGTGCCAATGGGAGAATAATACATGCCAAACACAACCTGTTCTGCCACCCTTGCACACCATGGACAGCTCTCCCACCAGAGCCAGCTCAGGCAGTTCAGCGCTCAGGAGACAGGACCAAGAGGTTGCCCAGAGAAGCTGTGGCTGCCCCATCTCTGGCAGTGTTCAAGGCCAGGTTGGACACAGGGGCTTGGAGCAAGCTGCTCCAGTGGAAGGTGTCCCTGCCCATGGCAGGGGTTGGAGCTGGAGGAGCTTTAAGGTCCCTTCAACCCAAACCAGACTGGGATTCTACGACTGCAGGAGATGTGACCTTACATGAAAGCGGAAGTGCGAGACGTCCGAGGGCACCGCCACGTTGTAATGACCCACAGCTTTGTATACGTTCTTGCTGTGTTTCACCAACACTCCCTGGGGCCACATGCACTCCTCTGTCCACCTGCAGGGAGCAAGCAGAGCGCTCTGATTTCTACCTTCATGGCTGAAAGGGGGTCTGCTGTTGTCCCACCATCAGATAGGAGAACATATGAGCCACTTCCACAGCTGCGAGACCAGAGTTTGGCCACCGAGGCTCAGAATTATGGCAGTGACAAGCAGCAGTTACTTGTGGCAACAAGCAGAAGGCATATCTCCAAATATGAGATCTGCTTGCTGCACTTGGAAGTGGACAGCACAGACAGTGTCTGCACGCTGTCAGATGTGTCAGCCAACAACTCTGCCTTCGTTTTTCTTTCTTGTAAGCAAGAAGAGGAGGAGAGGTGGCTGGAAAGCTGAGCTCCCCATCCCATCCCTGTTCACGTCAACAGGCCTGCCAGCTAAGAGAAAACTCCAGCCCCAGCCCCAGGAGTCAGCTGCTTCCTTACTGATGCTGCAGCACATTGGAGCAGAGGGCTGGATCGACCTTCTGCCAGCAGCCCAAGTGCGCTGCAGCTTTATGGAGCAGGTCACAGTAGCGCGCAGGTAGGAGGTACTGCATCAGGATCACTGATGTGCTGATGGACACCAGGAGGAAGAGCTCGCATGACCAGCGCTTGTCATAGTACTGAGTATTCTGTGGGGGGACAAGAAGAATGTGTGATACAAAGCACTCAGGTAGGTAAAATGAGGGCTTTGTGCAGAGCTACTGATCCCGTTTCAGAAAGAAGCACCCACATAGGATGGCTGCTGTACAAGTTCTGAACACACCATAGTGAAAATATGCTGTTACCCTATCACAAAAGCAGGAAGACAGCTCCTGATACGCTCCTCATTCAGCTGATGATGGGTGGGAGCATCAACCCTGCAGGGGAAGGGACTTGGGCTCACCCCTGAAGTCTGACGTATTTACTATAAGACATTTATCTCACTGTACAACGTATCAAGAACTTAAATAAAACAGCTAATAATCCTAATAAGGTCCAGGCTCCTTTTTTACTGCCTCCCTTACTAAAATCAATCCCCTTGTCCCAGGGCTCTGTCCTCACAGAAGGTCAGTGTGTGGGGGACTGGGTGGCCTGCAGTCCTTCCATCTTCATGGGGAAGTAGGAAGAGGCAGAGCTCCTTCGTAAAGGGATGCACACATTCCTGACAGTCAGAATACACTTTATCAGGGTAATATTGTCCTCTGTTACCTGGAGTTGAAGCAAAGCTAAACCTAGATGGCTTTGCTTCTTGCTTTTCACATGGCCTCTCTAAAAGGGTTTGATACGGCTGGCTGTGCATGCAGACCAGCCCCCTGACTGACCTCTCCCAGGTTCCAGCTAAGTGAGAAGCAAGAATCAGACCTCATCTCTGTGTCCACCTCTCCGCAACCCTCCCCAGCCAGTCCTGGAGGAGCAGCATCCACAAGAGCAGTGCTGGCCCTTGCTCACCTTCACAAACCAGACTGGCACAAAGGCCACATAGTAGGCACTGAGCATGGAGCTCACCAGCACCTCCTTCATCCGCCAGTTAAAGTCCATTTTCAGGTATTCCACCTCGTTGCGGATGAGATCTGGAGAGAGGCAGCAGGCGTGCGTGGGCATGGCCTCCATGCCGTACATCTGCCGCGTGTGCTGCTTCCACGTCTCCTTCAGGACACTCAGGTAGTCTCGGCTCCTGGAGGTCACCTCGCTGGTCTCCCTAGGACTGATGTTGGCCACGTGGGAGAAGAGCCCCGTCTTCCGAAAGTCATAGTTGAGCTGAAGGAAGGGAATGTACATGCCAAACCTGGGGCAGCAAAGTGCAGAAAGGCCGTTACTTCCTTACAAGCTCCCCGTGTGATGCCTTCGCTGGTGGCAGATCAGCATCATGATCACATCCCCCTCCCAAACAGCATCTGGTACCTAGATAAACTCCAGGAAAGAACTTCACCAATCTGATCTCAAACACAAGCAGAGTCTCAGCTTTTTGAGATACTTCCTCCTGTACCTACTAGAGAAAAGGGAGCTACTGGAAATAGAACAGGCTTCCTTTTGTTAGTTAACGTGAAGCAGGGAAGCTGTTTGATTCACTGCCTGGCAGAGGCACCCAATGACTGAAGTAAACCAAAGACACAGGTTCTTTAACTACCATGAGAAAAGCAGACAATCCTTTCCAGAGCAATCTACGAATCAATGCTTACATTAAAGCTGAAATATGGGTAAATGTTATATGCCCTACCACCAAGAAGAAATGTGACACAGAAGGACATAAAAGGGTAGTTTAAATTCTGTTAACAGGCAATCAAGTGCTTATTTACTCTCAGGCTTCATTTCAACTGAGCACCACCCACTGCACCGAAGCAACATTAGAAATCACACACAAGTGACAGAAGAGATACTTACGGGTAACACAGGAACAGGAGATTAAGGAAAGAGTAGGTTCTAAAGAGGTGAATTATCGATCGACACAAACTCCAGCCTGTGCCAGTGAGAACAGCAAACCGAGTGACCACCAGGAAAACAGAACGTGGCAGGGAGACTTTCCCACTCTGTGAGGCCTGCAGGGGGAGAAGAGGGAGCTGGGCAGAAGGGAGACTCATCCACTCTTCCTACGGGAAGCAAACAGTAAATGAGCATCACTCAATCTGTGAAATCAACTTCATATGAGTGAAGGAAGAGCTAGTGAAAGGCTCTGTTTCACTAGGAAGGAGAGGCTTTCTCAAGGCTGAAATTTGGACTCTCCATAAACCCGGACCTAATTCCTCAAGCTGGGATGAGGAGAGCTTTCAGAGTTTCTTGTTAACGTGTGGTAGCTATCAGTGTGACCAGACCACTCTCCTGGACCTGCTCACCACAGTCAGCAGAAACTGACCTACACTGGTTCTTCCTTGCAAAGAGATGGAGTAATTAAGAGAACAGGAAAAGAGCCAAAGACTGTTCTTCACAAGGAAGAAAGCAGAAATACTACAGTCCAGTTGAGACAGTAATTCAGAAGCAATCACAGAAGGACAGCAATGGTTTGGGGCACTCATTTCTGTTCTCTGTTCTTCCCATGCTTCAGTTTCTGACTTGGACGTAGCACAAAGTTCTTTAGAAAAGGACAGAAGAGTTTGGAACTGCAACAGCTTTACGTTTCACCCGAGAGGAAAGAATAGGTCTGAGATCTGCTTGGAGACTTTACCTCCTTCACAATAGCACTGATCAGCCGGCGTGCCAGGACAATCGTTGTCACCGTCAGCACGTTGAAGTCGATAAGATGAAAGTTCTGTTGTGACAAAACCAAAGTGATTCTACTTTCCATCAGGCACCAGAAACCCACATTCGACAGAGAAGCTCCCAATTATTCTCTTCTCCTTGGACTCTCTCTTCCAGGATGAGAAGCACAGAATCACAGAATCAACGAGGTTGGAAAGGACCTTTAAGATCGTAAGTCCAACCGTTACCCCAGGACTGCCAAGGTCACCATTAAACCATGTCAAATGCCAAGCAGACAGTCACTGACCAAAATTTCCCAAATAAGAGTCATTTGAGCAACCCGCCAGGGCTGTAGTGTCACATGTAGAATGCATCAAACATACCTAGAAAACTCAATGTCTAAGGACCAAGGAGACAGCCCATGAGTATCCCCACCACCAGCTGCCCGTCAGTGCTTACCAGTGACGTGTGGGAAGGAGGATGGGAGGGTGGGTACCACCACACCGTTTTGTAGATGTTGATGTAGTGGACAAACAGAGCAACGAGATGACAGAAGAAGAGCTGAAGCTCAAACAACACACTCCTCTCCACAGGCAGCTCTGGGATCTTACAGTGCCGGAGGGGGACAACTGTCTGAGTTGCCAAGGGTGGGCTTGAAAGACCTGTGCCTGAACCACTCCTGTCAAGGTAAAGTGAAAGCCAGCAGTCACTTCAAGATCAGCACAGTGTTGTCCTCCAGCCCACATGCTCACACTGTACAGTGTTCTAATACTGACTGTGAAACCTAAGCTGACTCATGGTCACTGGCTGCCACAAACCAGAGGCATAAGCACCCAAAGGTGTCTCAGACGGCTGTTACAGCAGATGTGAGCAGGAATTTTCTCAGCGAGAGGAGCATTTGGAACCAGGCCAGCCTACACCACCAGGTCATTTGACATTACATCCCTTGCATTGAATCAGGTTCAAAAGCCATAGCTGTGTTTTGCTATTCAAGAGGTAACCAGTGGCCCTCTTAATTAATTGGAAGCTTTATGGCCTCAAGTTGCTATTTACATTTCTAAGAGTACTTGAACATGAAATCCAGAGCAATTAAACCCAAGCCCTTTCCCATTCTTCAATTTCATTCAACTATGGAGGAAAAACAAGTATAGTCAGAGGTGCATATGCCTGTGTGAGCATGCACACAATCCCAGACAGCAACCATTTTACTCAAAGGGAAGGGAATTAATATACACTAGATATATCTCTCCTGATTTGCAATCTCTAAATAACAACAGTCAAAGGAATCTGGGTGTGGGTTTCAAAGGAACTAGAGAGCACAAACTCCTATTGAAAATTCCAAAATGAAACCACAACAGTCTCAGAGTATGACTGCAGACAGCCTTTGAGCCCAGGGGTGGACACGGTGCATCACTCCTGATGGCCTAAAGTAAGGCCGTGCATGAAGGGAAAACTCTAGGAACCTGAGCTGCCTCTCTGAGATGCCCACATTCTCAAGCTGCCCAGACTGATTCAGCTCTTCAGGACTGATAAATCCACCAATAAACTCTGTTCCTGTACACAAACATGAATTCCCGTTTAAATTCTATTTAAAGCCCTTTCCCAGAAAAGGGCTTTAAATAGAAACACAAAGCCTTTTCTGCTTGAAACAGACACACGAGACCCAAGGGTGCTCTTGCAAAAGCAGCACCAACGGTCTCAGACACATATAAAGCACTTTGGGACTTCTCAGCCTGGACTGCCATGTAGGTGATGGAGGCTACCACAGAGGGTACGGCTACGCTCTGATACTGTATCAGAGGGTATGGCTATCAGAGGTGAATCCTTGGAGGCACACTGGGGTGTGGATTTGTACCACATTACCTACTCATGACAAGGACCTCTGTGTGTGCTCTCACAGCAAAGTAAGTACAAGGTGGATTGCTCCATCGTCTGTGGCCTTGCAATAGCTTTTTTGAATAACTGTATCCCTATAAATTTCTTGGCCTGGGGCTGTAAGCAAGGAGCATGTTAAGACAGATCTCACATTTTCTTCACAGAGAGTTCATAAAAAGGCACCTGCTGCTTATGCACTGCTGTTGGCACTCTGCTTCTCCTTCCTCCTCTCTACTTCAGTTGCAGAAATGCAACGAACCAGCTAGGTTATAACCTGCAAAAAACCCCAAACACAGCCTACACATCACCTGACCTGGCTAAATTCTACCCTAGACTGATGTTAACTTCAGGGCTCAAGAGATGTAACAGCCTGAACTCCAGAGTAAGGCTTTGAAGAAAGATTTGTCTCCTGGCAGCCTGTCACACTCTGATAAAGCACTCAGGGAAATCAGAACTCACATTATCCCAGTTAGAACACGTAGCATGGACACTGCTACCGGAGAAAGAGGATCCCAGCTAGACACTGGGAGGCAACAGATGCTGAGCCCCAGGAGAAGCAGCAGTGTGTGATATGGGGACACAGAGGTGGTCTCACAGCTTGCTGAGGAGCAGCTGGTGTGAGGACATGCAAGCTGGATGTACCTGGTGCGTGAGCGCACGCCCGTGACAGAGGAACTCGTGGCGTGGCCAGAGCTGCCAGCGGCACCGGGATCACAGAGGGGATTCCGGCAGTAGGACGTCCGGTTGGGGCCCCGTCTTCCCCCTGCCATAATAACAGAGGGAGCACAGGGCTCTTCTGCCAGGTGCCTTCTCTGCTCTTCACCGCCTGGTGACGTCTGCAGGCCTTAGAACTGAATGGAAAAGGTTTATCATTTAAGGCTCACCTGCTTCCCGCCCCCAGTGTCAGCCATAACCCATCGCTCACACTGCTGCCTTGCAGGAAAAAGCAGGATCACTTTGCTCAGCCCCTTTCTACACCTCCTGTATTTGCCACAGGCTATAGATGCAGCTCCAGATAGCTCCTGACTCCTGGACATGCAGCAGCTTGTCAAGGTGCTGCGAATTCACTGAGTCTAAAGCCTAGTGTATGCAGGCTTCCAGGGGAGCAGGAAGCAGCTTTTCATGCCTCTCTCCCAACCCAAAGCAGTTTACAAGGAACTCAATCTGCATGGCTGTGGTGTTATCCCTGTTTTACAGGCAGAGCAAATACACTTATGGAGATGCTAAATAATTTGCCCAAAGGATTGAGTAAACTGGGGGTTCTACCTAGGTCCCCTTTTGCCCATTTTTGTTCTGGAATCAAAAGATTCACAAGTCTTTTAAAGGGATACCAGAAGAGCACACAAAGGGGCTTCTTCCTGCTTTGCTCCTTTAAGAGGGAAAAAAATAACTAGCACTTTTACAGCTGTATTTTGTTGTATGTTTGGATGGCACAGAGCTCAAGAAGACGTCAGTCCAGTGTTAGCTTTTCTAGTGCTTTCTTGTCAGTGTAAACCATAACACCCATAACAAGGCCCTCCCTCTAGATCCTGTTTAACCTTAGATCTACAGACCATAGCAAAAGGCCAGGTGATAACACACCAGCTACTGCAAGTGAAATCTGAGCTGTGAAGAAACCCGGATCAGGCCGTAGCAATTGCTCAACCTTTCTTTTACTGACTGCTGATTTCCGGTTTGCATCACTGAGCATCTGGGGAAAGGAAAAACATAACTGCTGAAGGATTAGAGATTGCTCTTAAACAAGGTCTAAAGCTTAGGATGAGCTCCAGTCCTCCAGCAAGTGATGCACTAGTCCTGAACAATGAGGGACAGAGCACAAAGGAGTTGTGCCTGGAGCCAGACCTGAGCGAAGCAAAGACACCCCAAGGTGGGTGTCATCACAGGGGCACAGAGGGGGCTGCAGGGCTGCGAGTACAGAGTGAAGTGCAGAAACCCCAGTACGTGCCATGGCACACAGAGTCCTTGTGAGCTGGGGATGCCGGTGAACAGGATGGGCTGTGCACAGGGATACAATACACAGGCTGGGGGGGGGGTGGGGGTGGGGCACAGGACCTCAAAACAGTGAGTTCGACACCCACAACACCACGACAAGAGAGTCTGAGAGGGGAAGGCTGTAGGATGCAAGTGCTGGGCCTGATTAGAGAGCTGGGGGAGACACTTGGGAGGTGCAGGAGTGCAGGTCAGGGGCTCTAGGAGCTCACTGTGGGCTCTGAAGGGGCAGTGGCGGCTGTGAGGGCAGAGGACAGGGGCTGTAACGTCTAGAGGGGTGCAGGCAGGAGCCACAAACACTCCAAGGATGCAGGCAGAGGCTGCAGGGTAGAAAGGGGAAATCTGCGGGCACAAGCAGAGACCACAAGAGAGCAGCGGGGGGCACACGGGGAGTAGTAGGGGCGATGAGAGAGCAGTGGGGGCTATAAAGGCCTCGGGGAGCAGGCAGGGCTGCAGTGAGAGCTACAGGCTCACAGCACAGGCCACGGGAGAGTACCGGGGGGCTCCGGTGACTGCACCGGGGCACGATAAACCTGCACAGCAGCACTAGCGGCTCCGGAAGGGGACTCCAGAGGAGCTACAGGAGCACGCACCTGGGCTGCAGGGACGAGCGCGGCTCCGAAGCAGCGCCGCTGACTCCGGACCAGGCCGCGGCCCGGGAGCCGCCCCCCTCGCGGCGGCAGCGGGGCGGGGCGAACTGCGGGCTCTGCAGCGGCCCGCGGGCAGCCCGGCCCTTCCCCCAGCTCCCGGTTCACCCCCGTCCTCCCTCCTCCCCGCCCCGGTGCCGGTCCCAGTCCCGCCGCCGCTCGCCCCCCTCACCCATCTCCGGCCGCGCTCAGCCTGCGCCGGGCACAATATGGCGGGCGGGGCGATGGCGGCCGGCAGCGGACAAGCCTCCTGCGTGCGCGCCCGCATGGCCACGCCCCCGCCCCTAAACCCCGCCCGCCCCCCCCCCCCCCCCCCCACCTCGGGGGGGGATTATGGGACCCCCCCCGACTCCATCCCCCAGACGGAACGGGAACGGCAGCTCCGCGGTGGGAAGAGACACAAGAGAGAGACCTCAGGGCAATAAACCTCATTAGGCCTTTATTGAGGGGATGACTAATCACTTCCAACATCTGCCCCAGCTCCCCACTCTGCCAGCCATCTCCTCTGTGAGTTATTTTAATGCTGTGATTCACCTTGATCAGCTTTCACCATCTCCACCAGCCACGTGTGGTGTTTTCCACTGATTTCCTTAAGTCGTGGGTGTTTTGACGCTTGAGTGCAGATGGAGCATTATACAACCCTGAGAATCACCTGCGTCTGGGCTGGAGGCAATTAATGAACTTTCACAGGGCCACCTCTACTGATTAATGAGCTTTCATGGGGAAATCTCTGCAGTTCTTGCCCTTTCATAGAATCATGGAATGGTTTGGGTTGGAAGAGACCTTAAAGCTCATCCAGCTCCAACCCTGTGCCATCTTGCTCCAAACCCTGTCCATCTCTGCAGTTAAAGACCTTTCATCAGGACAGTCTTTCATTTCTTACTGGTTTTGAAACCTCTTATCATGCAAAGCCATCAAAAAAACTGAGCATCCAGACACCTGAGGCTGTCAAAGTCCTCCAGGAACAACTCTAAAGGCAACAGTACTGACAACTCTATAAAGGCAAACCTGTACTGATGCCAGGTTTGCATCTGTAACACTGCATCTGAGCTGTTGGTTGCAGTATTTGGTTCTGAAGCCAGCAGTAAAGCAGCAGCTTTGCTGGAAAACACTTTCTATGTCAGTACTCCTGCATGCTGGTGCTCTCCAGCATCTGTGGCTGCCAAGAAGCTCTCCAACACTCTGGTGTTCTCCAACACTCACCAAGAGCTGGCAGGTTCCTATTTCCCAGCCGCAGCAGAGCAAACAGCATCTTAACCTTCCTTTATCAGATCTGTAATCATCTCATCAGGAGATTCATCCGACTTTGCAAAAGGAACAAAATGAGCACAGAGACAAACACTTTCAGTAAAACATATGGTAGCAATAGAAGCCTCAACTGAGCAGTAACAGCAAAGGTTTCTGCTCTGTGCTCACAGTAACTGAATTTCCTGAGTAGAAAGGAGTAACATCTACATCAGAGATGGGAGCTCCCACGGGCCCAGGGTAACCTGCAGGAATTCCTTCCCCTCAAAGCTTACAAACGGGGCATGTGTCCAACATCTCACCCAAGATGGTAGAGGCTTATCAATTAAAGTATTTCCCTAAGCCCCATCTTCCTCCCCAAGAACACCATATGTACTTGTTCCTTGTAACCCTCCTCCTCCAGGGCTGCTCAGAAGGTTGATCACTGGCTGCAGGAATCACCCTCAGCCCTGGTGTTCTGGAGGAGGGCACTGGCATGGGGTGAGGGAAGGAAGATGCACACATCTGAACTCTTCCTCTTGGCTCTGCTTGTGACAGATGCTCTCGTACAAATTTAAACCTTCTTTCTGTACTAAAGGAATCATTTGCTTCAACAGCCGAGTGGGGAATCCAGCTGTGCTCTCAAACCCCATCTACCAAACAGAGAGTTTGACAGGGCTGTGTCAAGATAATGCCTTAGCCTTACTGAAAGAACAGTGGTTTAAGTTAAACATTAGAATACCCTAAGTTATAAAAGCAAGCTCATAGCAATTTGCTTTATTTAATAATCCAAACAGCAACTTGAAACCAGGCATAAGGAACGGGCAGGGAATGACAGCCTCCGTGCAGGAAAAGCCACTGGGAGATATCTCTGTGATACCAGTCGGAGTGTTTTTCCCTGAAAGCTCTGGTTCCCACTCTTGCTGCTGCCCAACATACTGACTATGAACCACTGTGCATGGTGAGATATCACCAAGGAAGAGTCAAGTCCAAGTCTGTGGCAGCTCCAAGCAAGGCCAGCCTGAGTGTTTACACCAAAGAGCTGGAAGCATGGACCAGAGGAGATGGGACTGTGGAGGCACAGAGCAGTCACTGCAAGAGAGTGTTTCTAGAGCTATGTGACTCTTGGAAACAACAGAATTGTTGGGAAACCCCTCCAGAGAGGAGAGGTGACCATTGCTGCACATCACACCCCACAGCACCAAGTACAGTTGCGGCCTTCATCTTGTTTATGGTCTTTACCAAAATCCTACAAATAATAAGATATGGATTAGCCCTTTGGGGAAAGCAGGAAATGAAAGATCACTGGTGCTCGTGAGCTCAGAGCCAGATTACCACCTCCAGCAGGTACCTGCCAGTAGAAACAGGAAGGTTATTTAAGTGACTCAGCCTTCAGCACTCAAAGGAATCTCTACCTCTGACTAATTTCAGTCCTGGATCACCCTTGGAATGCCTGGCTAACTGGATTACCTCCAAGAGACACATCAAGTGCCAATGGCTATTTTGGGACCTCAAATTAGCATCTGCAGACTCCAGGCTAAAATCTAAATGCAGGAATGCTATGAGAGGGAGGAAGATGTCTGATGCAGGGCATGTTTTCAAAAAACTTTTCCCATATAGAGTTATTTCAGTAGATTAAGATTTACGTTCCTCCATAACATGAAAGTCTTCTACATAAACATGCAACAAATGCAATGCACAACCAAGCTGTGCTACTCCAAAGGCAGTGTCACAAGATCCACTTCTACTGGTAAAAAACTGCATCATAATAGATGATCTCTATCAAATCTTTTCCACTTGATATAAAAGCTGTGCCTATTAAGAAAGAAATGGGAAAGATTGGTACACCACCATACAAATTGATGTTCCAATTACATTGTAAATGAAGATGCATTCAATAAACAGGCCACAAATCCAGACGTGTTATAATTTTCCCTAGCAGAAAACTACAGATTCAATTTTTGAGTTGAAAACTTAAGGGTAATTTCACTCTTGCATTTCCACTATCCTCTGCTATCCTCTTTCCTCATGTTCCTAAGATAAGAGAAGCTCATTTGGTAGCTTTAAATTTCCATATAAGACTTATGTCCTTCTCTGTCCTATGCCCAAGGCTTTTCACAGTTGTCTTTTGAAGCCATTTGACTTCTTCAACATGGCAAGGACTTGATTCTTTGTTCTTTTATTTATGGACCTTGAGCTTGGACAGAAAGCGATGAGCTGTCTAGAAAGGAAATGCTTCCAGCTTCTGCCTTTGGGCCCTGGGGAGATGTGCCCTTGCTGTGTGTGCAGGTCTCTCTACTCGTGCATGGTGCAAGGTGCCACTTGGTATGGGAGCACTTGTATGCAGTTATTAAGGTATTTATTGGAGATTTAGCACATCAGTGAGGCCAGAGCAGCCGACAGAGGGAGCCCCACTGCTGTGAGTGCTCTTCAGCACCAGCACCCAAAGGTGATGGGGGTCCAGCATTCCTCCTGAAGGCTCATGATGTTACCCACTGACAACAGGTGTGCAGCCCTGCAGGGCTCTGAGCTAAACGTGTCCCAGTCAGTCTGGCAGGACCACTGATGGAACCATCTCTGGCAATGATATCGGACAAAAGCCAGTAGCCAGATCCCATTCCAGAAGTGATGGAGACATAGATGGGGTAGAACTAGCAAGATCTAGCTGGGCAGCATC